CGTGGTTCACACCGCATAGATCAGATTTTTCTAGCTACTCCCCGCATACCATTTTTGGTATTTTTCTCAAAACGCAGATTAGTCAAAAATTTGTGGTTCGAATTCTGCATTTTTATTAAATTAAAAATTGTTTATTTCTTTAAAAATATCACACATTACATAGGTAGGGGAGTAAGTGAGACATCCGTATAAGTAAATATATACTTGTGGCAGGATGTCCCGCTCTTCTATAGCTAGAATTACATTTTTTGTTTATTATTTAACTAACTTTAATTACATTTATTAAACATAAAAAAATAAATAAAAAATACAAGAAACTAAGCTTATATTTATTTAATAAGGGTTCTGTTTAGTTTTTTATTGACTACGTTGTATAAATAACCAGCCTGTCTTTTAAAATTGGTGACTAGCAAAATTTGTCTTAACTAGAGTTAAGGCGCTACCTCCAGCGAACGACCTTGAGCGTATGGTCTGTCGACGCTCGCTACAATATATTGCGTAAGAAATCGCCAAAAGACGCCACCTACTGCTACGAACGTAGTATTATTTTTTCAATGTCAATGAACTATTCTATGGAAATAGACACGGCGTACAATGATAAATGTATTTTAATTTTCTTTATTCGGTATATTAGTTGCATTATATTAGAATTATGTATTCTCATATATTATCTAATTAATAAAAATGACTATTTTGATTATTTTTAACTATATACTATACTGCTAATATTGAATTAGCTTTTTATAGTGTAAATTATAATATTTGTCGAAATGTTAATTATGGATTCGAACTTTACATGCTAATGGTGCTTCATTTTTGTTATTTTCATTTACTTACATATTGAAAATATACTTGAATAGTAGTTATTATTATTTTATTTAGCTACTGCATTTTAGGATATGTTTTACCTTGAGGTCAAATATAATTTTGAGGAGCAATAGATATTACCTACTAATCTTTTATCTGCTATTCCTTATTTAGGAACAATATTAGTAAATTGAGTTTGAGGGAGATTTACTGTTTATAATGCTACATTTATTATTTTAATATTTACCTACTGGGTAGGTAATTATTAAAATAATAAATATAGCATTAGTAACTAAATAGATATTTTTTTTAATTTTTAAAATTAAAATTTTCGTATTTTTAAAATATACTAAAAAAAAGGTTTGAAATAATAGATTTTCTCACAAAATCAGGGAACTTGAAAAAAAAAAGGAAAAAAAAAGCGGGACCAAAGCCAAGACGCGAACCACGGAACTCCTATATCACGCCCGACCGACATACCACCTGAGCTATAACGACCGTTAATGATTAGTTGAAATTTACCTTCTTATATTGTAGCAGTTTTTTTTATTGCCTGAAATCATGGAAAAAAGGACATTTTGTAAAAATAAATCCAAGCGTTCGTCGCTAAAATCGTTGAAGCCGTATAATTTTCTCAACCGAACCAGATGTTCGGTTATATAAATATTTAAATATATAAAAATTATAAATTAAAATGAAAAGATAAATATACATAAATATCAATAAAATAAAATAAATACAAAATAATATTATATTATTATTGTTATTATTATTATTATAAGTTGTGGTTCGGTGAAGCTGCAACCTAATGGACTGATCTGAAATTTTTATGAAAAGAAGTGGCTGACGTCAATTATTATTATTCTTATTATTTTTTCATTACTGCCTTTTTCAACCTCACAAGATATTTGTAACTGCAAAAAAAAAACTACGTATAAGTAAGTAAATCAGTAATATAGTGTTATGTATGATTCAGACTAAATAAAGGTTCCTAAAAATAGACGTAGATAAAGAAATTGCATAAAAAATTACTCAAATAAAAATGCAATAAACTTGTTAATTTTATAGGTACTTAGTAAAATATTAAAATAATAAGTTTTTTAGGATATTTATGTAAAATATAAAGGTTATATTATGTTCTAACTACGTTCACGCTTGCGCATATAAAACCGTGGAATTTCACTAGTTTTATTATCAAAATAATAATTGACAACCCTACCCTAAGTTTGCCTTGATTTTACCAACTCAAACTCGTTTTAGGAGATCAAAACATAGAGAGAAAGATAGGAGACTATTTTTTATTTAATATGGTTGGATCTTTATTTATTTGTATATTTTTTTGTATTTATTTTATTTTGTTGATATTTATGTATATTTATCTTTTCATTTTAGTTTATATTTATAAAAACCAACCAGATTAGAAAACTATACAGATACCCCAACAATAATAAAATAATAATAATAATATTCCACAAATATCACACAACGCCATCTAGTCCCGAGCTAAGCAGAGCTTGTGTTATGGGTACTAGACAACTGATAAACATACTTATATATTTCTAAATACATAAATATTATAGATAAATTACGCCCAGACACAGAACAAATGATCGTGCTCATCACACAAACATTTGTCCCGGGTGGGAATCGAACCCACGACCTGCGGCATAGCAGTCAAGTGACTAACCACTAGACCAACAGGCCTGACGATAAATAAAATAAAGTCTCTAGCTCGAGAGGAGAGGAGCCGTGGTAGCTCAGATGGTTAGCGCTTGCTAAAATTTTCACAGTGTGCGAGCAAACCGGGTTCGATCCCCGCCGGCACCAATAATATTGTAATTGCAATTTTAAGTGTTGATTTACCACGTGCTCAGTGGTGAAGGAAAACATTGTGAGGAAACCTGCATGTCTGAGAAATAAGAAAAATAATATTTCGAAGACATGCAAAGTTCGCCAACACGCAGTGGGGCAGCGCGGTGGATAATTCCTTTCCTAGGACCCTTTCAGAAAAGAGAATAGAAATAAAAAAATAATAAATCCAAACTTCATTTAAAACCAAACATATAAATTGTAAAATAGCTGCAGGTATCTCTGCAGCTATCGGTATAATCAAGTAAAAGATATTCCTTTACTCCAACTTGTCCATGTTTCCCAAAACAATTTTTAATTGAGCTTTATATTATAATGCGGATTTTTTATATTTAAAATTTTAATAATAAAGCATTTCGTACGTCTCAGCCGAGGCGCAAATATTTTTCGGCCGCAAATTTATAAGACCGATTTGTTATTCAAACATAAACATGGTCTTTTAATTAAATCTACCAATCATAAAACGACACGTATTTTTATTGAACACTTCCTATTCAATTCACAAAGTACCTATTATATATTTGTTTATATAAAAAAAGTATATTTAAGTACAATCATAAAGCTAAATGGAAACACAAAGTAGGAAAATGCATTGAGTTATAAAACACATAAATCAATGGGCAAATGTAAAAATACTGGAGGCAGCAGCCCTATCGCATCTTTACGTACCGCACGGCTGTAATATTTATTTCTAAGATACGGCCGAGTTACAATATACCGTGACGTAAGCGCATCGGTTGGTAGGTACTCAAATAATATCGCACATTGAGAAGAAGAACGTCACTAAACAAAAAATGTAGTTTTGAGGAATAAGCATTTAAAGTATGAAAAAATGACACCATTGCAGTTTTTGACTTCGAAACTATTTTTTGATGCTGTTTTCACTAAAAATAATAGAAAACTATTTTAATATTATAATTTACTTTTTATTATTAATTTCTTTGACTTGTAATGTTGATTTTTTTATAAAAATTTGTTTAGTGTCATTCTTCTTTTTATTATTACTGCAGAACCAGTGACAAGTTGTAGTCATAAGAGTCACAAAAGCGATGTAATTTTTTTAAAATTACATTACTAATTTCAAATTAGTTGCGAAATATCGAAAAATAAAACAAAGGAATACATAGTTATGTATTTTTTATTGTCTGACAGTTATCTTTGGGAGTGTTAACTATTACTATCAATAGTAATGGTGACTAATTTTATGAATAATTATTCTAATTGTAAGCTTACCAAATCAGTCTCCGTAGTAAATAATCATTAATCTGTCGTTATTTATTAGAATATTAATATTATTTTACTTAAGTATTAGGAACATTATAGATCAAGTACTAAACTACCAATCTAAAAACTAAAAATAATAATTGAGTACCAAAACATTTTTTATAAAATCTATAAAAATCAATAGTCAAACTAAAGAACATTTACTGTTAGAACATAATTAAGGCATAAATGTGTAGCAAAATAAAGTATAACAAGTTACATAGCAAATCAAATAACATGAGATCAGTTAAAAATTGAGATCAATTAAGAATAAAATTGTAGAAAGAACAAGCATAGTAAAGTGGAATAGCACGCTTGCTAATAAGTTTCTTTAGGTCGGCTTTTTTAGCAGCAGATAAAGGTATTCTTGATGAATATAATTGTTTTAACAGAGGTCTGGCCCGGCTTAATTTTTGCAAATTTATTTCTTTAAATGCATCTTGTAAATAAGAAGTTTTATAAAAAACTCTTATGCCATCAGACACATTTTCCGACATTTTAACTTTTAAAACTTTAATATCACTAGTCTTAACCTTTTCTCCTTCTTTATTTTTCACAAGTTTATATTCTTGTAGGCTCTTTATGTCATAAAATTCGTAATGACTCATTTCCTTTACTATATATTTATTTCCCCTTTTTTTTGCATCTCTTATAGCACTTACATACTGGTCTGGAACATAAATTGGTCCTGACCGTAGATTCTTTTTAATTTGTTTTTCAATCGTGGAATGTGCAGCATCTCCTTCATTCTGAGTATGCCCTTTTATCAAGAATTTATGCGTTATTGACCGAATTTTATCGAGATTCTTAACTGCATAAATGTACATAGAAAATACAAACTGGTTTTTCTGCTGCCCACCACAATTGTCACTGTAAAAAATGAAATCTAATGCCTCAGATGCAGCTGCTGTTTTATCTTGTAAATACTTTAAAACACAAGAGCCTATTTCATTGGCACCTCTGTCTCCTTCAACCTCAGTCCAAAAGAAACATTCAGTATGATCCTTTGCCAATTCACAAATTGTAAAATTTAAACAATTCAATCGGGATCTATATTAAAACTAACTCGCATTACCTTTAGGTACTTGTAGAACAGCTTGTAAATCGTAATAGGCTACTATGTTTTTTTCGCTTACGGCTTCCTTATCTTTCAATTTTTCTACTCGGCTTTTTTCTTTTTCTTGTAAATGAATTCTGTGTTCTTCTTCGAGCTTTTCCTTTTCTGAAGGTTGTGAATTTTGATATTTAATGCAGTCTCCACATTGGTCTTTCTTCGGAATATAAAAACTAATATTAAATTCTTCTTTAAAAAATTTTCGGTACGTGTGGATTTTAACATATGGCAGTCCGTTCTTTTCGCAATCATTTTTATAGTCTGTGTGTAAATCGGTTAGTGTTTTTCCTCCATCAATATATTCTCTGCTTGTTTGTTTCCTTAATAAATGACTTTCGATTCTAGGTATGCTATTTATGTGCTGTCGGACCCCATCTAACAATTCCACTGGTACTTGACGATGTTTGTTATGTTTACCTCGAAGTTCTGGTTCAACGATTCCTGACGAATTCAATTTTTCAATCACGGTGCGAATAGGTCTGTCATTTAATCCCAATGTATTTTTGAAAAAGACTTTGCAAACTTTAATTTTTTCCCCATCTATAGTGAAATAAAAAGAATGTTTAGGTTTTCTATTGCTATCAATTTTTTTGTATTGGTATTTAGGCTTGATTTCCCTAATATGTCTGGATATAAATTCTCTTTGTTTAACTAGAGATCCCATGCTCCAGTATCGTTTAAAAATAATTTGACGCTGTTCCTCCGAAATCCTCTCCTTACATTTTTGTCGGCAACCATCACCGCAAGGATTTCCTATTTTTCTACAAGATTTAACAACATTTGAGGTAGATGTATATGATTGCCCTAAATTGCGCAATGTTTTTGCCAAGGCTTTTTTGTTTATTCCTCGTTTTCTTTTGCGTGTCTTTTTAGGAGAAGAGTTAGAATTTTGGCACTCCGCTGAACGAGAAGCAGACAAATAAGATTGTTGATGTGTAATTAATGAGGTGACAATTTTCTGTGCAAGAACTTTTAGTGGTAACGGTTCATTCGAGTTATGGAATTTTCGGACATCCGTTGAAATTTCTGTAGATAAATTTAAAGCACTTGGACTGATGTTAAGTAAATTTTCAGAAAGAGGGATGTGTCCAGAAATGTTATTTGTATTAATATTTGATTTTATGGAAGAAACTTCCTTAAAATGAGATGTGTAATCTTCTGAATCTGATGATACAGATTTTTCGGCTAATTGCATTGAGTTTGATGAAGTTTTTGGTTGAGGGGGGTAAGTATTTACAACCGGAGAACTATAGCGTTTTAATTTAGCTGGTGAAGGAACAAAATTACTATTTTTTTTACATTTTGAGGAATCAGACTCGGAATCTGAGCTAGAAGAATCTGAACTAGAATCTGAGCTGGAATCGGAGCTGGAATCGGAGCTGGTGTTAGAGTTGGATTTCGAAGTATTAGAAGACGACGACACAGAAGTTGATCTTGACGAGACGGATTTAATTGGACACTTTGTTTCTTCCAAAGATTTGATTGGCTGAGAGAGGTAAGTTTTATGTTGTTTTTGTTTATTTTGTCGCTTGAAATCATCGTCTGAAGACGAACTGTCAGCTATAGATGGGGGTATATACTCCCTATCATCATCGGAAGCAGGCGAAAAATCTTGATCAGACTTTTGATCGGAAGAGTAGGACGATCCTTTATCACGTAAACTTTGGTGTACATTATAAGCACGTTCATTTAAAGGTATGTTTCTTTTTGAAGTAGAAGGTACAACTTGATTTTCTATCGGTTCTTTCTGGTCGGTTGGGCTTACTGGTAATAAATTTTCTTTTTCTACTTCGCTATTTGTCGAACTATTTTTTTGGAGATCTTTAATAATTTCTTTTAATGCTAGACTTCTGGAATTTGGTAGTGACATTTTGACTGAAATAGAAGAGAAAAAACATTAAAATAATATGAATATTGTGTAGTTAAACAAAATGTGGCTTTATGTCATAAAGTTTTTTGTATTATCTTCAAATGATGACGTGAATAACTGTTGCTTCCAGCAATATGTCGATATGATACTGTTTTTTTTTTACAAAAAAACTAACTTAAATAAAATAAACTTCAATTTAAAACGACAATCTTCAAAAAAGTACAACAACTAATTTTATACTATTTGCTACTTAATTGTAGGCACTAAACGAAATATGACTCCTTTACTTTCAATCAAAAACTTAATTTCTAGTTTGGTATTATATGAATACTGACATTTAATGCAAAATGTCATAAAGATTTTAAAAAAACATATCAATATTAAAACAATAATGTATTTATACTCAAAATGACACTATGTAACTTTGTATTTCGACACTTTGTGGTGTACTAAATTGATAGAATATCGACACTATTCATATAAAGACGTTATTACTTCAAGCAATCTTAAAAACTTACCAAAAAGTTTTACTACACAACGACACTATCCAAACAACAACGTTATTCTTCGTAGGCCCTGTAGTGATACGCGTCGTGTCTCTGTCACTACTAAAAAAATGCCGCTCTTTCTTGTCCTAAAGCGTGCCGCCCCGCCAGAAAACCATAACGTCACTACGCTATCTAGCCACAATTAGAGGAACTACGACAAAACGAGTCTTTGCAATACAGAGATTGTTTTTTGAATAAAAAGATGGCGTTTTAATGTAAAATTACCTTAGTTTTGTTTAGTGACGTTCTTCTTCTCAATGTGCGATATTATGTTTGCGGCGAAATACTGAACGCGGCGACCAGCGACGCGGCCACCTCGTATGAACGCATACAGCGTAATGCCGCCCGCACTCTGCGCACGCCCCTTTATCATAGAAGTCGCACAATTTTCGGAATTATTTCAATTAAAAGAGAAAAAACGAACTTAAAAATTTAAATAAAACGTGGAGAATATAGATTTTTTAATTATCTATCCATTAGTGTTATCCTCAAATGATTAGAGCGTTGCGTTTAGCAACAGATGCATGTAATCAAGAATTTTAGTCATTTTTTAAAAGTTGATTTTAAATGTATTTATAGCACATAAAAATAAATTAGAACGTGTAATGTGATGATAAGATATCGAACATTAATAATGTACTTTTAGATGTAGTTTATTTTTCATAACTAATGAGATAATAGAGTCTGAAAAACGCACTTTCGCCACATTTTGGTCAGGGATTCACCACTTTTCCTCGTCTATTACTATGCCGTTATGCTATTTATTGCTATGCTATTATTAATTCATTTGTGCCCCATTTAGAGTTACTCCTACCAACTAACGCCACAATATTTTATCAAATTCGAAAACCTTTATCAATGAAAACGTCAATTACAGTTAAATGTTGCTATAGAATTTATGTCAAACGCATATTTGAATAAATCCACTCATTTTTTCAAAGTACAATTTTTTTCTGTTTTAAATTTTACGTTTAAAAAGGCTACTTTTATTATTAAATAAAAAAGAATATGAACGATAAACAACATTTATTGAAAATGGTTAGAAAAATACTTGACTTTCTATTTCGTTAATTGTGTGTTGGAGTAGGCACTTTAAACTTTTATTTATAGTGTACACGAGCAATAATACATTTTAATATTGAGTGATTTCTAATTTAGTGATCAGTTAGCTTCTGTATTATAATAATCGTTAAGTAATTCCGGGATCGATTCTTTTACCACAAAAATTGAAGTTTGTCATATTCTTCACGCTTTGCCTTTGCTCCTTAGGCCTCATCACCGTCTGAAATTTTTAAAGGCTATGAAGCTTCGAAATTCTGAAGATGCTTATCTGTTATATAGTTGGTGCTGTAAGAAGAAATAGAAGAAGCATCTTTTATATATTATTTAATTTATTCAATAATTACACATTTGAGTCACAAATTGAGTCTTGTCTTAACATTTTTTGATTTATTTATGAACACATAACAAGACACAGAAACAGCCTAAAAGTAATTTCATACAAAGGTTCTACTTATTCCATAATTTGCTGAAATATCGTCCAGTAGACCCATAAAGGAAACTGTATTAAAATGGCAAACTTAGTGCATACAATACTACTACAAATGAACAAATAATATACAAATTGTTACGTAAATTATATGAAATGATACTATAAATAAAAATAAAATAATGCTATATAAAAAATAATAAATACAATTACATGTAATATATGTATATAAACTAATGCTAATATAATAAAATGATATATATTAATCAACAGGATACGAAGAATTTATGTCTAACACTTCTTAAATGTCAATAAAGTTTTTTTGTATATTAGGCGGTAGTGAGTTCCATAACCTTACCGCGTGAACAAAAAAGGAGTAGAAGTAAAAACTGAAATTATAAACGGGAAAGTTAAAAAAAAAGTTTTAACAAGAGATCTGCATGGTTTATCTGAAAGATGGTTGAAGGAAAATGCTGATCAAATATGACGCCTTTGTTTTTGACAGTATTGGCAAAGGGTATTAAAGGAACGCCATTAAAACTAACGAGAGGTAGTGATGTTTTAATAAAATAAGGGTGATAAACGAGCACACAGTCCACCTGATGGTAAGTCGATACTGTAGTCCATAGACATCTACATTTATCTTTAACTAAGAATCAAAATGCAGATGCGTTGTCTACCCTGAGGACTGAGATGGAATGCCTCGTTTCCAATAAAAAGTGTCTCCGGTTATCTTCACTCACCATACGAAACATAGCAGCAATAAGCTGCTGTTTTACGCTGGTATTCTGTGAGAGCGTGGTGCTATCCCGATCGAGTTGACCCATTAGTGCTGCCACCAACATAACCTTTACCACGCAAAATTAGACTTTGAGGTAAATTCTAATTTATTACGCAAATGCTCGCTGCCTATTATGATAGCCTGCAATTTCGGGGATCAACCAATAGTCTGAAGGATACAGATGCGGCACAGATCCGCATTCATGGCTTCAATTCTATTATTTATATCACATATCGGAAAATGACGATATGATACAGCTGCAAGACATCCGCATAGATATGAAAATTAGATGTTATAACTTTCATAATGGAGTTAATAAATATAGAAATTGAAAAAGGAGAAAGAACGCCACCCTAAGGGACACCTACAGTAATACCAGACCAATTGGAAAGAGTGTTATTAAGACGGATACAGCGCAAGCGACTACGAAGATAGGAATCAAACTACGCAATCGCAGATGGGGAAATGTTTATAGATTCCAAGATCCAGGGAAAAATATCAAAGTATATTGAGGCAAAATCACTGCTAAAGTCAAGCAAATCTAAAAGTATAAGAGATTTGTTGTCCATGACCCCACGGATATTATCAGTTACTTTAAGTAAGGCAGTGACGAAAGCCCGACCAATATGTGGAAAGCAAGGAGTTAGACGATAAGAAGAGATAATTGATAGAATCAAGCGTTACTTTGCGGAAATCCATTATAATAAAAATATTAATTAATTTGTAACCTGCCGCTAACTAAATACAATTATGTGTCTTACCTGGATTGAAGAGCACCTCCCGCCCTCCCTCAATTGCGTGCACTAACTCCGTCACCACTAGTCCCAGCACTACTACTCTCAACACCACTACTCCCGGCACCACTACTTCCAACACCACTATTTACTGTATTATCGTCGATGGTGTGTCTTACCTGGAATAGTGGTGTTGGAAGCGCTATTTTATTGGTTTTCTCTTATGCCATTATAGCTGTTTTATAATATGGAAGAATACCTACAAAATTAAACTACTTTACATATAACGCATCATTTATTTTATTATTACGTTTTTTTTTGTCATTTTGATTGATTGTTTAATTATAACTAACAACTTTATTCAGTATAGTTACGTAAATCACAAACCCATTAATGTAAAACCCGAAAGGGGTGGTTAAATTGTAAGATAAATAACCAATTTTCTAAATTAATACCGAATTTAACACTTAGCTTACAATAAATATTTTGAACTTGAATTTGAACAAGAAAGAAAATAATCTTACGTAAAATAAAGTTATGTGTTTGTTAGTTTTGATAATTTATTCTGTGGTTAAATTTTTTAAATATTCAATTTATATATTAAAACTCCGTTTAAGTAAAATTTTCACAATTAAGGCTGATTTTTCAATAACCAGATAAGAGTTGTTCATATGATAAAATACAATATTGACATGTTGTATTTATTTATTGCTTGTAGATAGGCTCTGAAATTTCACTGCTAAAAGACAAAATGTGACAGCTCGTAGCTCTTACTTGAAAGATAAGCTCATAATCCCATTTATTGGGTTAGCGAATCGGTGAGCACAGAGCTGACATTCTTGAACTGGTAACGTTGCTTCCCATCACTAGACTGTAAATTTTGGCTTTTACATTCTGGATATTTTTTTCTTTTATCATTTCATCGCCAAAATCTTGTCCTTCAATTAGCAGAAAGTACGTGCCAACATGGCCTACACGTTTAGGCATCTGAAGAAAAACTTGTTTTTGTCGCTTACATGCTAGGAATAGCGACAGCCTACGTTCATTCGTTTTCTAGATTCGTATTTCTCCGCATAAGTAAATAATAGCTTAGAAAATCCAAAAGGCGTGCGCCTTACGAGCTTTTCATTTAATTTTGATGGAAAAAATAAATTGTATTCCTGTCTTCAAATAATATAAAATGTATAATATTATTTACGTGTTTTAAATTTTACGATCTATTATTTGAACAGTAAATGTCACCTACAGGAAAAAAAATGTTTACCAAAATAAATCGATTACACAAAGTATAAAATCGATATAGGTTGTATGGTACATTCGTCTTTTTCTATCAGATTATTAGATATTTAAATTTTTAATAGCAATAAAACCTATAAAACTATTAATATGAAATGGGTAACCAGTTGATATAATTCTGAAGCTAATAAAAAAACTCGGTCCCGATATGTACATTTTTCGATTGCTATCGTGACCATGTACAAAATCAACACCTGGACGTCTACCAAAAATTTTTCAAACCGTTTTTTTTTTAAATAGAAATTTAAAATCATTTTTTAGGAATTATGAGATAGATTAATTACGCATTGTCTTGATATTCGGCTACTCATATTCCCGTAGAAGTGCGATACGGGTATGATAGAGGCAATTTAAGACAAATATATATATATATATATATATATATATATATATATATATATATATAAATATGATATATATATATATATATATATATATATATATATATATATATATATATATATATATATATATATATATAAATATATAATATTAAAGTGACAAAGTAGCACACACTACACCTGATAGTAAGTGGATGCTGTAATCCATAAAGATCTACTTATATCCTTAATTAGGAAGTAAAATGCAAATGCTTTGTCACTCCTGTGGACTAAGTTGGAATGCTTCATTTCCAGTAAGAACGGTCTGTGTTTCGCTACACTCACCATAAGAAGCTGAGTGGTTATTAAACTGCTATTTTACGCGTATTCTGTATTCTGTAGTAGCGTAGTACATTCCCGGTCAAACCGACCTGTTGATGCTAAAACCATAATACAGCTGAATGATGGCTACCACGATGGCTCCACCACTCAAAATAGTCACCTATATTTTAACCTAAAATGTCAAGATCTTTTAAATCTAAAAATCTAAATCCTTAATAAGTTTAAAAGTCAATTTTAAATATTAAGCAAAGCAAACACATTTCGTTTTTATTCATAATTTTATTAATAACAACGTTTATAAATAAATAAATAATTTAAATAATTTACTACTACGGAACTAACAACATGAATATTTCAACTGAACAAACATTTGTCTATAAAAGTTTAAGCGCCAATGCTTTAATCGATTCGTTCCTTCAATTTTGTTATAATAATCGTTGATGCGTCTGATAACCTTCTTGTAACTTCTGAACACCTTGACCGGTTGGATCTTATTATTCTTATTTATACAACATATTTTTTTGCAGAGACTACGGTTCATAGGTATGTTCGTATCCGTTATGGCGATGTAGTCAAGTTAATAACAAATTTTATGAATCAAAGAGACTCATATTAACAACCTACATCTTGGTTGAGTGTCGAAAAAGAAAATCAAAATATTCCGAACAATGTGGTGGAGTTAAGAATAAAACATCTTATTAAAAAGTACAAAGAGAATTCTGAGTGAAACTCATTACGCTATGTACCGGAAACGTTTGAACAATTTCCGCTTGGCTAGCTCATTTAATAAATTGTAATGTTGAGCATGTTTCTTCAGTTGAATTAAGATCACCGTAACAGATTTAAGATTGTTTGTACTCAGTCCAGCCTCTGTATGGGAGTGGTGTATCCGTCAAGTCTCGTCTTCTTCGATGACCATGATGGCCGGCGTATATGACCTGGTGGTCATCGTGATCGTCGCTGGAAGCCAGCTTTTTAACTCCCACGATAGCTGACAGCATCAGTGCAAGAGCCGACAATGCCATAGCCTGAAGTATATAATTTTAAATTTAAGGAAACATATTTATTTAAACAACATTTAAATGTACAAAATGTATTACATTAAAAAAAAAAGAATAAAAGCTACAACTAAAAACTTAATCATAGAGTCCTATTCCACGCAACATAATACCATAAACATGTATTTTCTTTCAGAAAATATACAAGGTTTCCCTATTTAATCAGGTTTTTTATATTTTATTATATCTGTACAGAAATGTATAATACCTATAAAGGAAGACATAGTTGATAATAAACCATAGAAATGAGGTGGTCGCTTCCAAGCTGTTTCTTAAATGAATTTTGAACGTAATTTTTACAACCTGTATAATTATAATATTTAATACTTGTATTGAATAATTTTACTTTAAAAAAGAGCCTCGCTGGGTTTTTAGTTGGTTTTACCCAGGATAGAGTTTTTACAAATCAGTGGTAAAAAAGTGACTTTCAATAAGAATTAGGTAAAAAAAGTAAAGTTACAGTCTATATACGTCTCACTGCTGGGCACAGGCCTCCTCTCATTTCTGAGAGGGTTTTAGGGCAAGGAATAGTCCGCCGCGCTGCCCCAATGCGTGTTGGCGAACTTCACATGTCTTCGAAATATTTTTTTCTTATTCCTCAGACATGCAGGTTTCCTCACGATGTTTTCCTTCACTGCCAAGCACGTGGTAAATTAGCACTTAAAATTGCATTTAACAATCCATTGGTGCCGGCGGGGAACGAACCCGGGTTACTCGCGTTCTGTTATATTTACAGCGTTAACCATCTGAGCTACTACGGCTCACAAGATCGCTTCTCAGCCTTATCAAAGAATTAGGGACTTGTAATTAATATTGGATAAAATAATTATCTTTCTATTCTATTCTATCCCTCAACGAATGTCTATACTTAGCCCATGAGCGAGAAAAGATCCTGTCCTTCTATCACCAGCAGCGACGACAAGTCGCGAATACAATTCCTTTAGGAAGTTCGCCGTCGTAGACTCCACGGACCGATAGTCCACCTCCGTGTTCACCCCGGCTATAAACTAGGTACCCCTGATATGCGAGGCTGCCAAAGTGCCTGCACACGTACCACATCACATTAGGGATTTACCTTTCTTTCAAAGGGCAAAAGTCATACGGTCGGGTCTCATGACCGTCTCTTAATTTGTCCAGCAATGGACTCTTACAACCAGATAAAGAAGCCTTTTTCTTTAGTTATCATAGATACAGAATACAACGTTTTTTTTTCAATTTAAACCCCTGCTGCAGCCAATTGTGCAATATCAGTTTTTAGTTTTTGTGATTTGGCTGTGTTACTTTACCTCCATGTTTCTAAAAATAAATTTATCTTTTCAAACTCAAACGTCGTAAATTTAGATCAGGATTTTTTATAGGGATTGATGATTTTACCTTATTACCCATACAATCTACCGATAAAACAACCATATTCTCTTAGCTTTTTTTGGCGTGGGTTATCTTTTTTAAGATTAAAAAACTTCAGAAACTACTAAAACTACCGAATTATACCGTCGTTATAAGACATCCAGCAAATAATATTAGCGAATAAATTTAGTGAATAAAAAATAAAAGACAAACATTAATACATAGCCACCATCTTTTTTTTGTTTTTGCATAAATTAAAATCAGTTTTTAAATAAATTCAAATAAGATAACAGGGGAATACGGAACATAATTTTGATTAATTGTTATAATAATCAGTATATATTTTATTTATTTGTCGCACTCAGTTATTAGGTCACAGCTTGACGACTGTGCTATTCTTGAAACTACATTTACTCCGGATATCCTCTTTGATTCAATTTTATTTGCCAATTAACAACCCATATAAAACTATAAATAAAATACAAGCGTACTGATTCTGTCTTAAGGACTATATCGCCGGCGAAGCAAAGGTGAGTGATGTACTCACCATTAATGTTAATAACATATCCTTTCAAATCCACTAACTAAAAAATGTCTTCCAATGTTGGTGAAGAGTTACGGGGATATAACATTTTATTTTATTTTTATTTATTTAAAACTTCATATACACAAGTGGTATATAGGCGGACTTAATGCCTAAGGCATTCTCTCCCAGTCTACCTTGGGATGATGCAGAGATAGAATGAAATAGGTGTAATAAAAAATGCGAATACTAAAATAAAATAACAAAAAAAAATTGTAATACACGGAAATAAAATACATAAGATATAAATGGTACATCGCAAAAAATAGATAAAATTACATTAATATTCATACACATATATGTATATAAAATATATAATATACATAATTACAATAGGAACAATAAAATTATATATATATTATATTAATATATATAAAACATATATATATACATATATAACATATATAAAATATATATATATATATATATATATATATATATATATATATATATATATATATAAATATACATACATACACACACATACATAAATATATACACATATAAATACACATACACATGTACAACCAGTGCGTGTTGCCAGTGATGACTTACGGATCAGACATCACCCTGTCTTATAATTCTCTCTGGTTGGATAGGTTTGTACCTCTCGGATAGCCATCGTAGGACTACTGTACAAACACTTCATCATTTCCATATACAGACAGTCAACTTGGCATTGCTACTCGTAAAGAGACTGTAGCATCGCCCAAATTTCGATGAAATTTAAAGCTGAATATTTTTAATAGGTCATACGCTCATAGTGCACATACGCAAGGCAAAGTGACAGATTGTACTCTTTGGTCTTTTGTAAATCTTGCTGGAGGGTGTGTACGCGGTCTATGGTACTAAAGTTTTTCAGGAACCGGCTTGATTGGGAGACTGGAAGTTGTCGGGTCAGCATGCAAGACGAGCTTTTGAAATAGTACAAGTACCAGTTTCAGAAGCTTTCAGAAGCTATGCTGTAATTCCATCCTTGTCTGGAACCTTACCGTTTTTGAGGTGTTGAAGAGCCGTTCTAATCCCGCTCAGACTGACGTCTGGGATATCATCGGAATAGTGTTGGATATGACTTGCTCTTGCAGCTACTCATGGAACCTCTCAATATTTCACGTGTCGCAGAAATGACGCAGCCACACTCGGTCTTTGGCATCGATAGTTGGCTCTTTTTGATAGACAGATCTCTGGCAAAGACTTTGGAGTCCTGGGTCCGCTCGATGGCTTCTTCAAAAGGAGCTGTATTGAAGTTGTGTAGGTCCTGCCGCATGCATTTCAAGATTTGCCTGTATGCTGTCAAATCTGCTGAAGACTGTAGCTTTATTTCCTGTCTAACACACATGAGATTAAAAGTGTGATCGAAGAGTTTTTGGGTTCTTGTGCGACGGATCATTCAGAAATTAATTCCGATTGCATGAACAGTTTCCAAGAGCTTGTCATTGATAACGTCCTCTGTATTGTAGACTTTTAGGCACTGTAAACGGTTTTGTAACTCGAGCTAAAATTTTTCGGGACTTTGACTTAGAGCACGAAGGGGACAAATCGTTGACTTTATTAGACGAGACCTCTTCAGCTAAACGTTAAGGTTTAGGAAGCCCTCGGCAGGGGAGACCAAACGGCCGAGAGTTAAGGGGAAAGGGAAAGAAACCGGCGGACAATGCGGGCGGTATCGAGGAGCACCGCCTTCTGCATTTGAGCACGGAGCAGTCCGTCACGGAGTCCCAGTCGCCTCAGATGACCCGAGAGGCTGACTGGGATTAGCCCATTCGCAGAGACGACTACAGGAATAATTTCGGTCGACAGACCAATCCACATGTCAGTTTTTACCCTTGCGATCAATGAGACATCACTGAACAGTTGACGTCTAGTCGTCATACGAAGTCAATCTCAATTTTGTCGAACTGTCAGGGCTCGACCAAATCTACTTCAAATGGGGCTACTTCTGAAGGAAAGAATTCATCATAAATAGTCGCTCTTTTTTCATGAAGTCGATCAGCTGCTGGCCCCACGCGTTACATTGCCCTATTCCGATTTTACCTACCTTCAGCTCACCGTTTTCTTTTGCGCCTAATTTTGCGTTAAAATCTCCCATTAACACCTTATACCGTTTTATGGCGGAATGCGTGGCTGTAGAGATATCCTCATACATTTTTCCACCTCCACATCGAGATGTGCCTAGGTTGGTGCTAAAACTTGTGTGACCTTCAACGAATACTGTTTTTTGATCTGTAAAGACAACCCTTTCGAAAACACTTACGACATCGGAATAATGCACCTCCTTTCCAATAGTATAGGACTTTGACACCACTAACGAAACTGGAATTTTGATATAGGTAGATTCATGTCTTTATCTTGAATTTACTTGTTCAAAAACACGATAGGATAATTTTGACTCGATCTTACAACGAAATTACCTAATCTATATGTTTGGGAATCACTCAAATATATTCATAACATCAATATTCGGAATTTACTTTCTCAATATTTTGATTACTTAAATCAATAATAATAATAATATAGAATAGTATAATAAATAATATAATAAAGTAACTTTTGACCTTATGACGGCGTTTTTTAAAGTTTTTATAGAAAATATGTATTCACTCCGATCAGTACGGCTTACGAGAGACATATGGACGATAAATCCGACATCTCCTTGGGACCGATGGTCGCCCTCCCGGTGAAAAAATAAGTTGCCGGATTCTATGACTGCCTTGTCCTCGCTCTCTCTTCAGGCCTCATATAATCCTATAATATGCCCGCGCAACTTGTCCATCTCTTCTTTTAGCTCCAGGATCTTCTCGTCAGTCCTCAGGGTGCGTGCGTTAAATGTTTCCAGGTCGAGTCGTACTAAGTGGTAACTAAACCTACATCGGATATTCTTAGCTTCGGCCGTGTATTTGTGTCATTGCTCAGGGTTGACAACCGCAGATTTTTATTGTACTATTGCTGTTATCAGGAAGATGCTACTGCCTATCTCATGCCTCTTTCCAACTATCGCCTCTAACGATACCCACGGGAAGATATGGGGATATATTCTTAACCGCCGCTTCACGGCTATATCAGATATGTACGTAAACATATACATATCTGATAAAAACAATAAGTATATTATTAATTAAGAGTAACGAAATTAAATATTTTTAATATGTTATACACTTTCACATAGGTGATAACAAATAGTAACCACGAAAGTGTATAAACAGTAAAAATCAACAAAATTTCGTTTATTTGTTCTTCACCTACGAAACTTATCATAAAATTGTTAAATATTCAACAAAGAGCGTTTGAGGATATCAAAGTACATTTCACTTCGCCACAGACCGCGAACTGTGAGATCTAACAAACATATAATTATTTCCACCTTCTGTTTAAAAGTCACTTTTGTAGTAGATATCGCAATTATGGAGAAAGAAAGTGGAAATACTGTCAAATTTTGCTCGGAATCAAAATTTGTATAAGAATTTTCTTCAACACTTACACACAAATGTACTCAAAGAAATATTAACCTGTATTATAATAATAATGTAAATAACAGTTTTATGTAAGAGGTTTCGTCTCCAGATGTCCTTCAGAATCGGATTTTGGTCACGGTGGTCAGGACACTAGCTGTCTACGCAGTAGTAATAGTATCAGTGGACAATGCACTATAATTCCGTCCTACTCATAAGTATGCGCAAGCATAGGTGCTCTCTCTTTCTTGTCCCATCGGACTATGAGAGTGAGGGGATCCTCACTCTCATAAACCGACGGGACAGCAATCCGACACTACCAGAGTCATATCTGGTACAGGACTACGGACGATTTCACGTGCTTTCCGAGGCACTGAGTAAAGCACCGCCAAAAACTTGAGTCCGGACTATTACTGAGAATTTTTGACAGAAAAATTCAATTACTGATTTGTTAGCCGTACTTAAGACTCGAACCCGTGACGTCATGGTCAGTAATCGCGCTTTCGGCCACAATAATACAAGAATATATGTATTATGTACTATAATTTTATATAATATGCTCGTTATATGTTTATTTCGTTTAATATATTCGTTATGCTTCTAAAAATTACGTATTCGTGAATACTTAATGTCAATATCTTCTTATTGGAGGTGCAATGGAATAGGATAGGAGGATATATTAAGGACATGGATACCCAGAAATTTTGTCGAGATCGAGCATTTTAATATTCTACGAGTATACTTTAAGTGAAAAGTTCTCATATACACATGGTGGGGTTCTTAAAAACGGTTCTGAGTATTTGACTGAAATTTGGTATTTAGATATACCTACGTCTTACCATATAAGTTTATCCAAATAGGTTAAGCGCGGTCGCCTAGGTGTTAATAATAATTTCCTCCATTCAGATTTCCGATTGTTGTGGTCAGGCTCAATAGAGATTATAATTTTGCGCAGGACAGAATCATAATGCTCGAGACGGTAATGCCACAAAAGCGAAGAGAGAATCGGGCGCAAACCATCGACATTACGTGCTTTGCTTTCCGAAGTACGTGGGTAAAACACCGTCATTTGCTTGACTCCGGGCTACTACTGAGAATTTTGTCACTGGAAAAATCTGAAACTATTTTTTGTTGGTTTGACCCGGAGTATCCGAATCGTCGTCGGAGCCTATGAGAGTAAGGCAATGAAAAAATAGAGTGTACCTGTACTCTCTCTCGGCTCTATAACTCGGTCACTATAATCCTATCCTGAGCAGGTGTCTGCTCTCCGTTATTTTGGCTGCCGCACCGTGACTTTAATTAGTTCTGGAGGATATTATTCCTATTATTATTACTCTAAAAGACTCATGATTGAAAGCAGTATAAATAGGACCCAAAGTATTGGCTCTATATTTACTTAACCCGTATTACAAGCATCAACGATCTTCAACGATTCTGCATATTATACGTAACCTAGCTATGAATTCCTAAACGGATCATTGGCCACTTATAGTACTGAACACATTTTTTTTATAAAATAAGGATGACAATCGAACACACAGTCCACCTGATGGTAAGTGGATGCCGTGGCCCATAGACATCTACATTTATTCTCGATTAAGAATCAAAACGCAGATGCGTTGTCACCCCTGAGGACTTAGATGGAATGTCTCGTTTTCAGTAAAGAAGGGTCTCCGAATCTCTACATTTACCATACGAAGCACAGCTGCATTAAGCTGCTATTTTACTCTGGTATTCTGAGAGAGCGTGGTCCTTCTCCGGTCGAGTAGACCCATTAGTGTTACGACCTTGCTTGGCGTTAGAGTTTTTATTTTTCACTGTCGGTTAAATGTCAAACTAGTTAGTAATATACGTGCCTGTTCGTGCGAGACCTTGTATTGGCGGTATAGGAGTACACACTATCCCATATCAACCCAGGGGTGTCATAAGAAGTGATAGAGGGAATCTATCCAGGAGATGGGCGGCAGTGTCTTCCTTATAACAAATAAAAATAAAAAACTGCGTTGCCTACTCGCCTGCAACTGGCAACTGTGGAATATATCCCTTTATCAGGTAATTGACGGAAGACGCTTATTTCAGTAGTAGATTTTTGATATGTTGTAATGGTAACGGTCAATCATTTTGTGAGAGCTTTGTGCTTACGATTAAGGTAATATTTTATGTTATTCGTTCCTTTATTGCAGCCAATCAAAATTCCACTAAATATAGGCAGTTATTGAAGTAAAACTTCTTTACGCACGCTTGACTTAAGAAGTAAGCTGGCGAACGCGTCACGAAAGCTTTACGAAAAGTCTGATCGGGCGAGGCGAACGGAAGTTGAGTGGGGGATATAAGCAAGAGAGAGAGCAGTGCGCGCGCACATTTTCTTTCTCACTTTCTCTCATAGCCAGTTATTTTTCGTAATTTTATTCCTTTTTGAACAATTTTATGAATTAATTATTTATTCAATACATTAAATATTCTACGTTTAAAGTGAATAAAATTGCAAATTTATATTAAATTTCATGTTTTGTGAATTTTCGGGTGAATAATCATAACAAATTATAGAAGGAAGCCGACAGTAAATTTAAATATTTGTAGAAAATTAATATATATATATATATATATATATATATATATATATATATATATATATATATATATATATATATATATATATATATATATATATATATATATATATATATATATATATATATATATATAGATCAAGCTAAAGAAGTTTTACTTCAGTCGTGTGGTCGTAAGCACGCGTTTTTTTTTTCATTATTTTCATTATTAATTTTCCGGAATGACGTTGATTCCCATTTGAGATTCTCTCCTGATTGCAACGAACTGACAAATGTTGGAAAGGCTTATAGTGCAGCTAATTTGCGAATAATTAACAAAATCTTGATGTTTTACCTTCATCGTAAGAAGACCTAATCCTCCAATACCAGCGGCACCCATTGTCTTCGCAAACATCAAACCAAGGAGAGCCATACTGCTGGCACCACCGTCACCTTTGCCTCGACCAGTAACTAAAAAAAAACGATTTACTCTCTTTTTCTCTTTCTCTCTGTATGTTTATATATTTCATTAAAGAATATAAAAAATATCTTTTATATTTTATTCATTTTCTTTACGTATTTTTAATGGCTCAAAGTTATTCGAAATTGGGATTTTTAAAACCTTTAAAAATTCATAACTCGGAAAATATTATTTTTTCGTAAAAAGTCATGTGACCTTTTTATTCTTATTTCAACAAAGCAAATAAAAAACTCTTCTTATTTGAAAATAACAATTCCTTGCAATTAAAAAACAAACAAACAATATAGCACTGATGGCACCCATGGCAGTATGCATTCAATCAGTAGTACAATTTGAAGAGACCCGCATAAAAAAACTTCAGGTGACATAGGTAGGTGCCTCATGCGCCGATTTCTCCGGAACTAATTCTTAAAAGGGAATGCGATAATTAAAAAGAAGTATTTAATAATATACTGATATTTTTATATCGAACCTTCGATTATTTAAAAAAATACGAATATTTATAAACGACCTCTAAACGATTACATTTTAATAACTTGCAAATTTTCTGAAATATACAAATACTTAGTATAAGTTACTTCAAATAGGATAATTATATAATTCAAAATGGCGACGTTTATTTACCACATTTCCGGTTATGATCCATGTTTCAAGTTCATTCAGTCATTTGAACCGAACAGACAAACAGACAAAAAATTGAGTTAAACAAACGTTGCAATATTTTTCATATCACGACTGCATTTTTTTGTAGGAATTTATTGGATTTTTAACTTTCATATTTCATTAATCAAATAATGTTGCAAGTACGAAATTACGATGGTGTTTTTACTAAGTGGTAAGACTTCTTTTTTGCCTAGAAGTCTGAGTGGGTATCGCACTCTTACCTATTTCTGCGGTCATGTAGCTGTGTATATGTTCCATTCTGAAGGTTATAGAGAGCCAGTTGATGTTTTTCAGACTGGTAGGCATTCCATATTATTCCTCAGAGATGATTACATATACATAAAACATAACATAATTACTCACGCTTTTCGTCCAGAGAGGTAGGCAGAGACTACGGGCTTCCATTTGGCACGATCCTGACATACCTCCCTCACCTACTTTACATCCATATATCAACGCATACACGCTCGTTGGGTAAGGGTAATTCTAATGTGCTCCATTTTCAAAATATCGCCAATTTGGTAGATAAAATTTCATCTAGAGCATCCCTTCCCGACTCTACCCTTCACATCTGCCATATAAATTTGCTTTGTTGTTGTTGTTAGTAAATTTGTTATGATTACATAATATCTGTAGCAAGCCAAATAATTTATGAAACGTTGTAAGCGCTCGGAAGTACGTACCATTATTGTTTTTGTAGGATTCATCCACAATTTTCAACGATTCCTCGAATAGATGACTTATTTTATCTTTTTCGATAAGATTCGGCAGCTTGACGTGAAGCTCGTGTCCTTGAAGAAACTTTGCCATACGGAATAGCGGTGAGTTTCCGAGTGATCTGCCTTCATCCTCCAAACTGTTAGACACTGGTATACTGACTAACTTTACACCATCTGCTAAGTCCAAATCGCCATCCAGCAAAGACCCAAAGCCAAGTGAAGCAACGGCTAAGAGTACAGCGGCCTCCCGTAACATTTTCTCTGAGAGTCGTTTTATCAATAAGTCAGAGAGGGAGGCATAAATGCTTTTATAGAGATAGCTTTCGAAAAAACGAAAACCTAAATCTCGAAGCAATTGCTCCGGAGCGGAGTCGACTAGTGTAAAAAATTAAGCGGTTTATTCTGCAATGAATTGAAGTTTTATGATAATGAATACTTTAAGCTGTTTTGAAAAGAATAGTCCACAAATTTGAGTAAAGTGTTAGTATTTAACAATCTTTTTCTGTAAAAACAAATATACACATGAAGTACATTAATTCGTTCATAGCGAATTTTGTAAATATTATCTGTTTGAAACTATTCTTATTTGTTTGTAATTAATAATATATAATTTACTGCAGTGTGGTGGTGGCGTAAAAGGATCTATCACCCGATTTGGCCCCGTGGGTGACATAGGAGCGACTATGAGATGCCTGAAAGTTTTGTTTTTATGTAGGATAGGGTGACAAACGAGCACACAGTCCACCTGATGGTAAGTGGTTGCTGCGGCCCATAGATATATATCCTTGATTACAAATCAAAATGCTGATGCGTTGTCACCGGTGAGGAATTAGATGGAATGCCTCATTTCCAGTAAAAAAAGTCTCTTGTTACCTCTACACTCACCATACGAAACACAGTAGCATTAACTACTATTTCACGCTGGTATTCTGTGAGAGTGTGGTCCTTCCCCGGTTGAGTCGACCCATTCGTGCTACAACTATACTACTAATATAACTGCAGCATGGCTCTACCACGTATTATAGTTTATGTGACTTCCGATAGATGACCGTTTTATAAAAGTATACGTAAAGTACAATGGCCCGCGACGTGGGCAGCGTTTGAAGTGCGAGAAAAGGTGTCGAATACGGCAAATCCTCCATGTTTGTACTGCACTTTAGGATCTGATAAAGAAAAAAGAAACAGATGGTTGACGACGGTAAATTAATTCAAAAATGGCGAGGCCAAACGCTATAGACTGGTGAAATATCAGCTCGGTACTCTCACAAGAATTGTATACTCGCTGGCGCATTCTTAGAATCTAACGCATTATGAAGAAATATTTTTTTACTGAATTATAATATATACTTTTATGAAGTTGTAAATAGTACATTGAGTTGTGTTGGTGTTAATAATACACATTATTTGTATTAGATTTTTGTTATCACATCTTGCCTTGCAAGGGTAAAGTGTGAAGTATAATATTTGGTAAGCGCAAAAAAGAAATAAACAAATACACGCAGTATTATAAATATCACAACAATATTAATATAAATACTTGCAATTAATATAGGCGGAATGATGGAAAATTATTTCACGCCTGTTCACTTCGTCAATATAAAAGCGAACGAAACCGTTTGAAGTGAAGTTTCACCGATCGTCAGTTTGAACGCTGGTGGACAGAGAAAGGGGGAATCAAATTATGTGATCCCTACCCACTTTCTTTAGATATTCTTAAATTATTTAGGATAGTAGCTTATCCTCATAAAGGATATATGTGTAGCTAACACTATCTTATGTAATGTCCTCCAGAACGAATTTCGGTCACGGCGGACTGCCTCAACGGACTCTAGCCATGGGCGCAGGACAGGATTATAGTGCCCAAGTGTATGCGCAAGCACAGGTGCATTCTCTATTCCCTCACCCTCATAATCAGATGGAACGGTAAACCGACATGACGGGAGGAGATCAGGCGCAGGACCAACGGCTTTACGTTCTTTCCGAGGCACAAGGGTGAGACACCGCCAACTTCCTGACTCTGGACAGCTACTGAGAATTTCTTGATAGAAACACTCAAATGAAAAAGAAAAAAAAAACTACCGCTGAGCAGCTTAATTGAAAGAGATTGGGAGCCAATTTTTAGTTTCTTTCGAACCCATTAGTTACAGGCTAGGGACATAACATAGACCAGACTGATGGACAGTATATTTTCACGAAAATTACAAAAAATATATACGTTCGTTTTACTTTTTGTAGAAATAGACTTAAATGTCGCTCTCTCCCCACCGAATGGGTTCACGCCTTATCACGGCGGGGGGGGGGGGGGGCTTAGTAGCCGTTACTTGGTCACCCGCAGCTGCGGCAAGAGGGGTGTCCTCTCCCCTACCGCTACAGCCGAGGTGGAGGTCGCGGAGGAAGAGGAGTGTTGGAATGGCGATGTGCCATTCGCCCTAACCTCCGCGACTCAAACGGGGCCGCGCGGTTGATGCGGTGGTGGTGGGACTGCGGAGGGAGAGGAGTGTTGGTATTGCGACGCACCGCTCTCCCTACCCTCCGCGGCCGAATTTTGGTTGGCGGCGGATTCATAGATCGGATCCACCGCTGTTGTCAGGAAGGCTAGTGCTTCCGAGTGCTCGTTTTTCCTGGCCCCATGGCCTTCGCGCATCGGACACGAGGGCGTCCGTTGCGCAGGTGTAGTTGTAGGCCGTGGAGGAAGGCGCGCCATGTGTTCTGGTGCGCCTTGCTTGGGAAGGAGAAAGGGGAGAGTAATGTTCTTCCGAGGAGGCGCCGCCATGGGGTAGCCGGCGCTGGTGGGGCCACACTGCGTGCACGTGCGAATGCGTTCCCGTGGCCCTGCCAATATGCGACGAAGGTGGAACACCATGGGGTTTTAGTCAGTGCGAGTCCGAAATAACCCGTCCTTGCCCCTGCGAGGCGGGTATGCGTAGGCATTTCCCCATGTAAAAAAAGACGTACATGACGATCTTAAGTGTGATAAGTACAATCTTGACAGAACAACATTTGAGATCACTCCGGGCGTTCTACAGGTGACCATGTTCATATTTAATGATGAAACTCATCTAAATATGAACAGTGTTGGTACAAAAACCTAGAATTTCTTAATAACTTGACTAGCGCCAACTAGCGGATTATAACATAGTTATGACATAACCAAACATAAAATTATATAGTGTGAATATCTCTAAGAAACGCGCCAATCGATTAAAACATATAGGTTTACCGCATATCTTGAGTGGTATTTACCTAATATACTGTTTTTCCAATTCCTTTGATTTTATACATAAATATTTACCTGTGATAATATTAAAATCCTTTGGATTCGTTATAAGTCAATTTTTAGAATATTGTTGCAGAATGGCGTCCAAATGAGGGACATTGAAACAACTTAAATAAACTAAAACAATAGCGTACACTTGTAAACAGTGTGGAAAATTTGCTAGAAGTGATAATATATTTTGAGGTTGTTTCTCAATGAAAATAGATATTTTTTAATTTCGATACGTAAAATATAATGTTATCAAAGTAATTATGGTTAAATTTTTTTTAAAAATAAGAGTTTTTAGATTTTCAGTTAATTTTAATAATGACAGGTACATAATCATACTTTGATTACGTATTAAAAATTAAAGTGTCAGTAAAATGCGATATATAAAAATAAAGACACTCACATATTTTTTCATTGTCACATCTAGCATAAGTTTTAATGTGATTTGTATTGCGGATAGTGAAATAACGCTTCAATCTAGTTATTTTCGCCTCCGGCGAGAAGTAAACGCAGTACTGTTTCTTCTTTTTGCATTTATTTCGAGTGAGAGTGCAGGTCTGAAAGTTGGCACTACTGCGTCGAATTGAAGGGCCGCACGTGCGTCCCCAGTTTTGTGTCGTTTGTTTTTTCTTATTCGTCGGTAGGTTAAGTAAAGGCAAGAAAAGCTATATGATTAGTGTTACGGATTATAAAAGGTCCACTGCGTAATATAGGGCTCCCTCATAAATTGCCCTATAGGGATATTCGCCACAGTTGCCACGCTTGGCAGGCGAGTTGGCAGCCGTAGTTTTTCATTTTTAGTTGTTATTAGGAAGACGCTTTTTTACAGAACAATGGTGACAAACGAGCACACAGTTCGCCTGATGGTAAGTGGATGCTGTGGCCCATAGACATATACATATATCCTCGATTAAAAATCAAAATATAGTCTAAGATGGAATACCTCGTTTCCCGTAAAAAGGCAACCCGGTTCTCTAAACTCACTACGAAACACAGCAGCATTAAGCTGCTATTTTACGCTGGTATTCCATGAGAGCTTGGTCCTTCCCACATCCCATGCGTGATACAACCACTATATAGCTGCAGCTTGGCCCTACCATGAAAGGTTGTTATTGCTGCCCCTCTCCGGATTTGTTTCTCTCTTTCGCTTTTAACCGTGTAGTGGCGGTGTAGGAATATCCGCTATGCCATGCAGTCCTGTAGGTATCACAAATGGTGATGGTGAAAAATAAACCTATAAGATCTAATTTAATAAATTTTTGTATATAATATCCTAAAGGAAATTTCAGGCCGGGCAAGGCGCTTAGCCCAGAGGCGGCCTGTATTTTATGTAAGTACTACGGGGTTTTATCGAAAAATTCTAATTAAACTTCGATACCGAGATTTAGAGTTTGATTATAGTCCCGTAGGATTACAAAAGTTAATCAATATACATAGGTATGTATATTAATTTATTTTACCAGGATTTATTCGATCACATACTAATTTGTTGCATTAAAAGTCATATCAAAAAGGTTTTTTGATAAATTTATATTACAAGTCATACCGTGTAGTGGTAATGTAGAAGCATCCTCATCATCCCATGTCATCCCGTGAGCATTGTATGAGGCAACAGAGCAAAATTTAATAGGAGATAGGAAGTAGCATCTACCGTCACGTTTCTTGGTTGTTCTCTTCAGAACAGAGGTTTTATCCATATCAGTGTTAAAATCATAAAAACATTTTCAATTAGTACACTTGTCTATGTTGTTTTTTTGTTCTATTCTATTCTATTTCTGATAACAGCTTGAAATAATAAAAATTACGTTTGCCAAAGATACCTGCCAAACATGCCTGCCAATCTTGGAAACTATGGCAAATATCCAATCACAATTAAATCTTTGTGTAGAGGGTCTATGCTTAGTTATTTAATTTAAGAAATACTAGCAATAACATTGGTCCATCTTTGGGTAGGGGGTCTATGCTGAGCAGTTTTTTTTATTTAAATTTTT